TCTCTGCACAACACCTAATGAGTTATAAGCTCTCAGTCGATCGTTACCACTTGAATGACCCCGTTTACAACAACACATTGGAAAAGGCTGACACTGTGGAAGACCGAGTCCTTTGGGTCCTCTGTCTCTTCTACCTTCTCACATCGTTTTGGTGGAAGTCAGTGTGTTTGCTTATTATCACTTATTTCCTGACCATCGGTCCAAGTATACAAGCACCCCAGTGAAAGAGGAGGAACAGGGTGACGTGGTGGTGGCCCCGCTAACAGGGAAGGCCTGCGAACCTCATTCCCGCACAGGCCGCTGCACCCCCTGAACCCACAGAATTCAGGGCACATTTATCGGCTTCCAAGCTTCTTCTCAGACGGTCAGTAGGAACTCGGAACCTTTTGGAGCAGCTTGCTTTTGTCTGTCTCTCAAATCAGAGACTCAGACCATAGCTGTTTCTGAGGCAGGGATACGCACCAAACACCAGGGTATCCGGAGATGAACTCGGAAGCTGCACTTTTCGGGTAGAGTGGCTGTGAACTGTCTTTCAGGAGTGTCATCAGGAGGCAGGAGAAGACAGGGAGGACGTGGAGACAGCCTTTCATTCCACCTGTGACACGTGACACGCGCGCTCACTCCCTCATCTCCACCGAGGCTTGTAACAAATTATTCAGCCGTATTCACGGAGGCCCAGCCCAGGTGGCCAGGTTTGCATCTGGGAGATGTTTGCCTAACTGACCCCACACGAATAACAAGGAAAGCTTTGAGGGGTTGAGGAGCCACCTGTCCTTTCTTCGGGCCACTCCTGCTGACTTCAGATCACCTCTTTGTCCTGGGAACGCAGCAGGGAAATCACTGTCCGCTTCGAAAGGGCTGGTCTTCTGTGCCCTTGGCATTCCAAGCCCAGTCTAAGGTCCATGACCTGTTCTCTTACACAGCTCTACTTTTTCCATCAATCGATCCATTCAACATTATCTCTGCAATGTCCTGATATCAATACATCTGTAATAAAGTAATCTTAGAATGTCTACTACTCTCCAAGTCATCGAATATATAGATATCCCATGATAGTGTCTATTTTTTTTATATGTCTCATAGTTAAACCTACTTTAAGACAGGAATCTATTCTTCCTTTTTAAACAAACATGCATTTTAAAATAGAGAAACTTGAAAAACTAAACATTAATTGTGTAATATGTGTCCTTATTAAAACATAGGTTATATTAGAATATTAACCAATACATTACAAACAGCAGTATGTGGGTGGGGTTTTCTTTATCACACATAATCAGAAACCTTTGTACCTTTTCCTTTATACAAGTCAATATTCATCTGTATTCAGTGCTGACAACTACAGCTGTTATCAATTAAATGTTGATGGCAAGGGGCTATTTAACATGTTCATCCCAAGGAAGAATTTTGGAAGGATGGGTGACTTAGATCTCAGGGCCTCAACTATGGGTAATGAGCAACTGGGTTCTGGATCCCACCTTTCTGTAGTTGAGGACTGTGCACACACCTGATGAATGATTTCTGAAAGAAAATGATGAAGCCTTCTTACCAAGATACTGTGAACTTAATCCCAGACAAGAATCCTGGGTAATTTTGCAGACACCACAAAGGTTGATGGCACACCTCTCTAGCAGACACAACTGTTTGGCTAGATCCGAACTGGCCTTCTGGCATGATTAGAGAGTGTACCGGGCCTCCTAGAAATTCCCTATCCCACATCATCCTCCCCCTAACTCATTGCCGTTGCTTCCAGAAGGAGATGCTCTTTCCCAGTTCCAGTGACCAGCAGCCACATGCAACCTACAGGCTTCTGATAAATTGTTCTTAAAGTGTTTATATGTCAAGGTATTGCTACTATCTTATCATGATAGATCAGTCAGCTGTGGTGACAATCTGGCCAGACACAGTTTCAGATATTTTGTATCTTAGTTGTTAACATTCTTGCCTTTATACGGCTCTTTCATCTTTTCTGAATTATGTACTGATGCCCCAAGAAGTGGCATGACAGTACATTTGATGGTGATTAAAGTGCTCTTTAAATTTTTTTTTTCTTTATCAGTGTAAACATGTTTTATCTTGTATCAGCAGTACCGGTTTATTTACTAATGAGATTTCCTGAGCGTGGCTCAGTCTCCTTCTGATGACAGACAGACCAAAAAGCTGGTGAGCCGAAAATTAGAACTTGTTATTAAGCTGTTGTCACATCTGATCATATAAAGATGTCACTCAGTGGCTGCTATTGGTACAGCTGAAAAGAAAATTCCCCGAGAAGCCAAAAGGTTAGTGGGCTTGGGACTAAAAGATAATGTCACTACTTAACTGTCCAGGAAGAGAGGAAAGTAAAGCAGGTGCCAGCTGAACCGAGCACGAATCAGAAAGGGAGACTTGGCCAAATGCACACAGTGGATCTTTGGAGTAGAGAAAGTGGTCTTTGTGTCTGCGCTTACTGGGTTTTCCAAAGCCAGAGCCACCTGTGATGAGATCGAGACTGTGTATCACCCCAAGCCTAGGGGCAAAAGCATCAAAGCCAAGCCCTTGATAAAAACTGGGCTTTTCTGATATGTATGGTTTTTGGCATGAGAGCCGAAGCTGTGGGCTCACATGAAATGAGGCCCTTACCAGTGCTTTCCGATGCCATGCAGGGAAAATGCATCTCCCTCATCAGCTCCCTTCTGCACCACCAGAAGTGCAGAATTTCTCAGAAACACCGTGGCAACGATGCAAGAGTGCGCCATGATATCTCTTTAGAAGGACACAGGGGCAAAATATTGCTTGGGGCTTGGAAGAATTCTGCTTTTTGCTTTCCCAGGTGGCCAACTTGGAGCTTTTCTTAGGGTGGGTGGGACTGTGCAAGGCTAGTTGGTCATGACATATGCGTGCCGGTTCTCTAAGCACCCAGGTTGGGGTGGGGAGCCTGGAATTTGGGATGAGCTGGCCGGGTTCTCTCACCACTTGGGAGTTGATGGCAGGTCACCTGACTACTCTTTGGTGATTCGGGCAGCTGTCCAGTAAAGTGGAAATCTGAGACAGATATCCAGAAAACTATACGACCGTACATCTCCACCTGGGCTCTGCGAAGAATTTAGGTCAAGATGATGTTTGGCTTGACAAGTTTCAATTTGTCTTAAGAGGCACTTGGCTTCCCTTTTCCCCCATCCGGGATACAGGGGAGTCCGATAAACCACTCGAAATTCTTTTGATAAATGTGCCAGGTGCTAAGCTAAGGGTTATTAGGAATAATAATTCAGGGAAAAGAAATTTGGATGACGTGAACTTATTTCCATTAGACTTGAGCCACACAAATCAACTTGAAAAGGAACAGCTGAATCCGAGGAAATACCTGGTTACTGGGGGAATGGGCAGGGGGAGGGGGCTGGGGAAAGAGCAAACAATCGCTCATTCATTAAGTTGATGTCATGTCAAGTGCACAAATTCTGGACTAATGGGACCTGTCCGGCCCAGTCAAGCATCCCGTGATCATCAGAACCAAAGTTTCTATGGCATCCCTGCTCCCCTCCACACCCTCCTCACAATCATGTCACTTGACCATATTTGGTCATTTGGTTTTCAGACTAATTCAAAAGTGACCACAGAACCTAACACTGAAGCCCATCCTGCCCCAAACAAACAAACAAACCCAAGTGTGCTTTATGGCACTTTCCTAAAATTGTAACACCTCGAGACCTTGATTCTCAGAATGACTGTCCCCCAGTGGTTCCAGAGTGCCATCACAGCAAGTGCAAACCAAGCCGTTGGTTGTGGGGAACGAGGGGGGATGATTCTCCATTAAGCACTCTGCTTGAGCAGTTTAAACCCTGTAGGGGCAGAGCAACAGTAAGCTGTGGGTATGGACAGAAGCTCATTTGCCCTCAATCAAATGCCCTTAACATTTTTCTAATGGGGACCTTTTACCCCAGTTACCTTTTTACATCCTCTTCTGCAACCCCCTCCCTATCAGCTGATAATCAGTTGATGCAGCAAAGGGCTGTGATACACATAAATAATCCTAAGATGCCAGATAAACGGTATTGGTTTTAAATTAGAGCTGTGCCTACCATGTCTCCCTGTGAACACCAGCCTATTATTTTTAATTATGGCTTGCAAAGCAAAGTGATTTCTTGCCCTCTTTACAGCTTCCCTGACAGTATTCTGACAGGGTGCCTGATCGGCACACACATCCCTAGCCACAGCACCCACTATTACTCAAATGGTGACTCAAAAGGGATCAATTGCAGTCATTGCAACTTGCATTTTGAAGTGTGCTAGGAAGAAATGAACCCCCTTAGCTACTGTCCCATTGCAAATGCAGGATGAATATGACATTTAGAAAAAGGTTTCCACAGGATCGGGATGAGTTTATGAATGCACAGTGTTTCTGCATGAGGCATGTATGTATATGTGTGTATGTATATTAGGTATAAGTATGTATATATGTGTGTGTCTTAAACACTCCTGCATAAGCACTGCAAACCCTTCCCCTAGCAGCACCGTGAGCAAAGAATAAAGGAAAGACCTGGCACCAGTCCCTTGTGTGTTTTCTACCTGATGGCCATTGTCAAGAGTGTTTGGTTTAATTCAGACAGAAAGTTCTAGAAACATCTTGGTGTTAAATTACATTAGGCATTGAGAAGTCAAGGAGCTGGATGAATTGTTCTTGCATGTTCGAAGGAGACCATCCTTTTCTCTGCTCAGAAGAGACGTCTGACGTGATTTGTTGATACGTGTATTTATTTTCGAAGCCTTTTCCTCTACAAGGTGTAAAAAGTTACACCAACTTTACGAGCAGAGTTTATGGCCTCGTTTCTCCAGGATGGTCACATCGCACCTTTTACAGCCTTGCGCTTTGCGCTCAATACCCTTTGCCACGCTGAGATCTGGTTGCAACTGAGCCAGGTGGGGAGAGGCTTTGCTAATTTCCAGCCAAAATAAAATAGCTCATCACCTCTTTTCCTAAAAAAAAAAACAAAAAACATTTTTTGGGGTCTTTCTTCTTTGATTTCCAGCAACAAGGAGCTGCCACCACTGTCTACTGTGCTGCCGCTCCGGAGCTTGAGGGCCTGGGAGGCATGTATTTCAACAACTGCTGCCGCTGCGTGCCCTCTCGCGAAGCCCAGAGTGAAGAGACGGCCCGGGCCCTGTGGGCGATCAGCGAGAGGTTAGTCCAGGAAGGACTCGCCGGCCAGTCCAGCTAAGCGGGACCTCCGGCGAGGATGGCGCACACATACGCCCTGTGTGTGTACGCACGTAACTGTCAGCGCTGGGCCCCTTCCAACTTATTATCCGGAGGCTTTTCAGGTCCCTCTGACACAGATCCGCCAAAGTAAAGGAAATAAGAGTAGTCACAAAAGTACCAATGCGAAGCAGGGAATTCCAGGGGCAAAATCTCTTTTCCAGGGCTGGGTGACGTTTGGGTCCCTTTGCTTTCCCAGGGGTGGCCTGTTTGAAATGCATGCTTATTAGTTGGTGGGTGGGTTCCTTGTCTCCTTGTAGAAGCACAAACAATTCTGTCTCACTGTTTAGAATAGCGTGTGCCCCTGTCCCGCCCAGCCACCACCACAGCACACCATGGCCATGCTGCCACCAGGAACTGGCTTTCTCCTACTGAGGGAGGAAAACGTCAATGTTTATCCTGCTGCATTGATCCAGGAGATAATCATTTCATTCCTCCTGACCATGTGGGAGTGGGCTTGGCAGTTCCTGGGGCGACAGCTCCCTGAACCTTGGGCCAGCCAGTCAAGATGGAAGTGACACCCAGAAATGGGTGGGACAGACAGCTGGTGGCTCCCAAAAGTACTGGTCTACCGGCTCCCGGGCCAAAGCTTTACAAAAATTCTTTAGCAAGTATAACCAACCAATTTTGCAGATCATTCCCTAGATGCCTTGGCAAGCAGGAGGGGAAGTATTGTGTCTGTAAGAATATGCAGGACATTTCTGGGGTGGGGGAGAAAAAGCTGTTCCTTTTGTTCTTCATTCAGTTTCAAGCAGCAGCCCAATGGCGGAGGTCCGCAGCCTCTCGGCCCTCCCCCTTGAGAGTTCCGCTTCACCTACCCCTGCTTTTTCCCATCCTACGCTTAATAAAAGAACATGCTTGGATACTGTCACCTGAAGTCTGTATTGTTTCTTTACATGTTGGTTTCAGTTTTGTTTTTTGTTGTTGTTTGTCTTTTTTTTTTTTTTTTTTTTAGAAAAGAAATCTGGAGGAAAAATAAAGCGCTTCTTGTAGACGCCAGGAAAACACCATTCTTGTTTCTTCTCTGAGTCTGTTTTTGTTTTTGTGCTTTGTGGCTGTCTGTGGGCCAAGTTGTCTCACGCAATTAGCATGCCAGCATTGTATTTTCTGTTGGAGAGAGAAAGAAAAAGAAAAATGACTATTGTTTAATTTCACCTTGGAAGTTTTGTTATTATTTTCAAGTGGGTTATTTCTGTCCTCATTGGTTTGCTCAACCTGTAATTACCAAGTTCCTGCTGGTGAGAGAATCTATCTATGTTGGGGGTGGTTTGGGGGCTCTTTGCCACTTGCCCCTTGGTTTCCAAGCCATTCCAGCAGGGAGGTAATAAAGTGCCTTCTGCGAGATGCAGAGAATGCTTTTGCCGAAATACCAGGAAGGTGGAGGTGGGGTGTCCATCCCTCTGCTCCTCCTCCCGATGGTGCCAGCTGCGGGCATCACGGATCTCTGGGCTTCAGGCTCTGGGGTGCAGTGCAGTCAAACACTATTGCTTTCCTGTGGCCCAGAGCCTGGCTGTCTCCTCCCATCTGGCTCTATTCTCCCTTAGAAAATCCCTATTATCATAACCTCTTCAAAACCATGAATCAGATTATGTCACTTGTGTCCAAACCCTCAGTGTTTCTGAGGGACCTTGTCTGTAAGACTGGTGATCAAAATTCTCCTGCTGGTCTCCGCCCCTGGGTGGTCCTTTCAACTTGTTTTGGCCAATTTGGAAAGTGATTCTGCACTGAGGCTCACCCTTTTTTCTGCCGCTCTGTGGAACTCTGTAACCACCATCATATGAATGGGTCTGGATTATCCTACTGGATAATGAGAGACACATGGTCGCCACCCAAACTGACATGAAGCTAACCATTAGATGTGAGTGAGACCACCCCAGACTATTCAGCTCCTGCTGAGTCAGTCTGGATGAGAAGAAACTCCCCAGTGAGTCCATAGAACTGCAAAAATAAATATTTATGTTAAGCCAGAACTTTCTGGATTACTTGTTATGCGGCAGATGCTAACTGATACAACTTCTCATCTCAATGAACAGTGTACCAATTTCTTACCATCGCCGAGGATGTCCTTCACAGTCTGGTCCCCAGCTAGCTCTCTGAGCTCAGGTTCTAACACTTTGTCCTCACCCGCTACCTGTAGCCACTCCAGCCCTCTCATGTCCTGAAATATGCCCTGCACACTCTCTACTCAGGGACTTTATACCTGCTGTTACCTCTGCCAAGATGCTTCTCTTCCAGAGACCTGCATAGCTCCCGCCTACATGGCTTTTTGATCCCTGGTCAGATATTATACCCTTTCTGAGGAGGTGACATTTCTGGCCAGTGCACTCAGGGTGGCACCCACAACAGTTAACACTATTAGATATATTATGTGTCTGTTTACTACTTTCTCTCTCCACCTCCTATCATATAAGCATTCTGAGATCTGTCTGTTTTGTTCACAACTGTGGTCGCAGTGCCTTGACTTGCCCCTGCCATATACCGTAAGCATGTAACATTATGAAACTGCTGAAGAAGGATTCTGGGTGACTAGGCATTATGCTCATGAACATAAATCCCACCATTGTGAGCATAATGTTGCTAAGCAGGCTGCACATCAGTCTGATTTCTAACATGACCACAGCCCTGCCTGACAGCCCTCCTCTTCCTGTCATGGATGAGGAAACTGAGGCTGAGAAGTTTCATAATTTGCTCCTAAGTGGCCAAGCTGCCATTCATAGCTGGGCCTGTTTGATTTCAAAGTCACAAAGCTTCCCTGCACCAATGCCACTGTGTGAAGCACATCTGTCCGACAGGAGGCCCCATCTCGAGGTCTCAGGCGGAGCAGAGAAGTGACTTTATGGGACTGACTCCAGCTAAGCTTTAGGCATCTGGTGCAGGTGGAAGTTAAGCTGGGGCCGAGAAGATGCTGCAGGATCGCCAATGAAAAGTGATGTTCAAAATATCACAGAGACCAAGGGAGGGCTGGCCGGCTGCCTCTGAGCTGACTGAGTTCCATATGGAGCCTGCATCTGGGGGGGCAAGATGCGGCTTTGCAGGACTTGGGAAGGGGAGGATGAGTATTCTCCCCAATCCAGAAGCTCTCTAAGGCAGATAGACTAGGTCTCCACATACTCATTCATTCGACAAACATATGCTCATGCTGCATTGTGGAAAGTCAAAGGTTTGTGACTTCCCCATAGTTCCTGCTATAAAGGGATTTATCTCTCAGGTCTGTAGGAGTCTTCGCAGTGCATGAGGTTCTAATCATCTTCATCAGGAGCTCCCCAGGTTACTTACCGATAATGAGGCCCAAGAACAATAACCAGGACTCCCTTGTCCACTATGCCCTGAATCTGCTCAGACCCTGCCAGTCCCTGTGCATCATTTCTCCAGCCAGAAAGTTAATCTTATTTTTTTGGTTAATTCTAAGGAGGAATTTCTGGACAGGTGAACAAATGGGTGGCATAAAGCCTCAGGTCTTTTTTAGCTTATTATACTATAAGCCCTTCATCTGCCATGATGTATGTATATATGCATATGCATACATATATGCAATATATTATATATGTAATGTGTGTATATATATATATGATACATACTTTACTCACATAATAATGATCCTACTCTACCGTCATCACTACTGCTAATTGCAGAAGCTATTTACTGAGCATCAACTATTTGCCAGTTGTGGATCTAGGCACATCACACCCATCTTCTTACTGTATGCTCACATGATGAAACGGAGTTTTACTAGACAGTAACCTACCCACAGCCCCAGAGCCACGGAGTAGCAGAGTCACTATTTGAATCTGGGTCCATCGCCTTCAAGTCCACGTGCCTTTCACTTCAACCCACAGTGCAGTGGGTGGTCTGTAGGCCAGCAGTGTACGTACATTTAATTTCTGCAATGGGTGAATTATTCACGAAGGAAGACTATTTGGCTTCCTGCCTCAGCATAAGGTCTGACTCTCCTCCTGGTGCCCAGTGCCTAGTATAAACCTTACAAAAGCTCTCTGTACAGGCCATTTATCCAGCAATATTGGCTTCAGCCCTGTAGACGCTGTCTGCTGTTCTGCTTGCAGAAGCCTGTGTCTGGCCTTGTTTCCCTGGGCTTAGCGTCTAATGGACGCTAATGCCCAGACTCCACCTCTGCCCCCCATGCCACGGACCCACCCAGAACAGGAAGAGGGAGCCGGTTTCTCTACATTTTCTTCCGAGTTGCTCTCCCCTGCTAGTTTCAATCCAAAAGGCAGCCAGTTTCCACTTTCACGGTTGATGAAGGGAGACCTTTCTGCAACTTATCAATAGGAAACAAGAAACCGAACCATCCCCAGCAATGACTGAAGCTGTGGCTTGTGGTTTTGTTCTTTAAATGGGGTTATGGGTGGTTTTGTTTTGAACTTCAGTGAAGGAGGCCTGATTACTTTCATTAAGGTCAGCACTGGGCCAGAAAGCCTTGGCTTGCAAAATGGCTGTGTTGTCTGGTCACTAGCAGGTACCATTTTTAGACGTTTATATAACAAAGAGTCTCTAAAATAGCAATGCTTGCCCTGTGTGTTAGCTCTTTGTGCCTGTGAACATATCCGAACTCGCTGGGTGGAGTTCACTAAATCGTATCACCTGATAAAAGTGTCCCCCTGATCACTGGAAACCCTGCTCTGAATGATGTTTATTGATGAGAGTCCCCGAGTAAAGACAACTTTTAAAAGGGAAAAGAAAGACTCAGAGACCACTATTCTAATGCAGCTATTTTCATTTTCTGTATTACCTTTCAAGCTTTCCTACTACTTGGTGTCATGCCTCCCTTTTACCTTTAAATAAGATAAATAAAATTATCTTATGTCTCAGTTTTCAGTTATTTTAATGGGTGCCTAATACATCACCGTGCTGGTGGGTCATCATTTGGAAATTCCTACTATGGGACAGTTAGGTTGGTTCTAGTCTTTGCTGTTAGCCCTAATGGCCCACTTAGCATCCTTATGGAGTTCTTCCTTCTATGCATTGACCTCAGCACACATTTGCAGAGCTGAAACTATCGGGTCCGAGAGCTTGCATCTGACCATGTTGCATATGGCCGTGTGCTTGGTCGTGTGCTGTCTGGGAGGGTTCCAGCCCTCAGAACGTACATAGTTCTGTTTTCTTTAGCACTAATCTGCTCTTGGGTGTTGTCATTTAATGCTTTTTATTTTATATATTTTAACTTCATATTGTCACAGTCTAGCACTATGTATATAAAATACCCCCCAAGCAGCCAGTCTCCTTATTTAAAGTATAAGCATTTTGTCTGTCATTTTCCCACTGGACCAAGTTCACCATTTTAATTAGAGTGAAAATGCCAGGTGCATCTACATTCAGTTTGGGTAGAAAAAAAACCTGTTCAACAGTGCTGTGATGTCTTTACCACCTTATCCAGTTAGTAAGTGCCCTGTTTCCTTCGCAGTCACAGCTGAAGCACTGCGCGGACCCTATCGGAATGCGGTGCAAATATAACATGCAGGCCTCTTCGGTTCATTCTGTCTTGCGTACTCACCCCACGAGCTGAAGTACTGCCTGCTTCTATGAAGTGCGCACACCACTCAGAAAGATTGCTTCCCTCCTAAGCTGATCACTTACAAGGCCATGCCCTGCTGCATCTTAGGGGTGACAGAATAAAGGCTTCTTTTAATTTTCAAAATAGGAATATGCAAATAATAGAAGATCTCCACTCCTCATTCAGATCAAAGATGCACCAGGCCTCCCTCCAGCTTTCCTGATTTTATTTGAGGTTCACAGAGACTTGTCTTTTACATTGGAATCAGGACAATTTCTCGTTTGATACTAGGCACCCAGATGAGAAAATCCACTCTTAAAAAGTAGTACCACTTCCTGAGTGCTTACCAATACCATGTGCAAAACGCTGAACTGAAATGCTGTTTTTGTTCATTTAAATCTCATGATCTGGGAATTCAATGTTACTGTCTCCTTTTGACCAGTGAATTTGAATTCTGGGGCCACCACTTCCTGTGTGATGTTGTCCCAGTAACTTCACCTCTCTGAGCCCATGTGTCTCCAAGCCCCTCTGCATTTGTGGTTTCCTTTACTCTTCCAACTTCATCCCTCCCTTGTTTTACTTCCTATATACAGACTTG